TTTTCTGAATTGTTGTTGTGCTTTCTGAATTGTTATTTTGTTTTTTAGACTTGCATTTGCGTTTGTAATTTGTTATTTTGTTTTCAGAATTGTGATCTGCTTTGCACTTCTCGGCCACCGTACTATACAGTTATGATAGGGCATTTCACTAATAACATTACTCAGAAAGTTCAGATCAGATCAGCAAATCAACTGCATAATTTTGGCAACCTTAAGTACAGCTGCTACAGTTTAATGTCCTTCCATTTGTAGAAATCTCTAGATTTGTCCCCATCCACTTCTAGAGCAATAATCAAATTGTAAGAGCTTGTCATTTTGTTTTGTTTGGTCACAGTGTAAAGAAAAAATTTAGCCACACACATAAAACGACCTTGGCAGTTGAGCAGAAGTGCAACTGGAAAGCAGTAATCCTAATATGGCTTGAATGTGTTACATCACCTCATTAATATTCATGACCCAGGTAAATTGTGTCCCACTCATTTTTCAGATCTTTAATTTTAGTTTAATCAGTTATTCTAAAAAATAACTAACTAGCTAAAATTTAATGAATACGAATGTAACACAGGTAATCTCACACTATTAGCCACCGCAGCGTTTGAGTTCATTAAGGCCCAGTGAGATGAGCCAGAACAGGTCCGACCTAGCAGCACATTCCCACAGTAACTAAGGGGATTTCCAAGCCGTCTCCATATGAACCAACTGACCTGAGTGCAGTGAAAGGAATACTGTTCTGCTCGGTGAGCTCCACGGACAGTCCGGGACAGAGGATGAGAGGGCTGACCTATCCGTGCATTTCTGAACTGGGCAGGGCCGAGTGAAAGAGAAAGGCTTGTTGATATACACTGGTGATATTTCCCCGCTGGCTTAATTAGGTTAGGCCTGTGAGCTGATTAATCTATGCCTGTGCTGGTAATCCTTAAACTGCTCTAACCTGTACTGAGGTCTGAGAAGCCAGCCAGCCTGCCTGCCTGTCTGCACAGATGGCCATGCAGACAGCAAACTCTCTCTACGCTCATTATGAAAGAAAGCAGCTCAGCCTGCGCAGCAACTTTGGACCAATTTAGATGCAGCCATTCTCCAACATACAGGCATAGTGGTCAAACGATATGGACGAGTGCTGAGAGTGGGATAGCCAAAATAATGCTGATATATGCTGATACAACTTGATGTTTATTAAGACATACAATAAGTAGCTTAATTAAAAGTTATTTTACAAAGTCTTTAGCAGATACTCAATAAAATAACTGAAATAGAAAATGTTATTGACAGGGCTTTTGGTTGATTTTGGAATTGACACAGGAGAGAACCTATGTTACACCTTTCTAAGTCGCTTTGGATAAAATAATCTACTAAATAGACCACTTCTGTTCATCAAAAGCATAGGGCAGTCAGCTGATGCCGATAATGTCAAAATGGTCAAATATCAGTCGGTTATTCAGACTGGCTGATATATCATTACTATGATTGCTCCCTCACTACACACACACACAGCTGTGCACTTCTGCATCATTAATCAGTGCACTAGCTGTAGCCTACCCTTGTCCCAAGGGAAAAAGTATTCAGGAATGTCGCATGTGGATGAAGGTATGACAGACGCACATGATCATCTACTGCGTGTTCACATAAGAATCACTGAAATGCGTCCTTCACTTCTGACTATACATGTGCATTCAGTCTACCCACTTACTCCAGAGAGTCCATTAGAACAAGGGAGAGCATGGACAAGCACATACCTTCTCCATGTGACTGCTCAGTAGGCAGACATTCAGCCACAACCTCCCTTACATTATAGGTCAATAGCGATGAGCACTGTAGAAGCATTATTTTAGGTTTCAGGATAGAATTTGGATCAATTTCTCCTTCCATTTATATGTCAACCAAATACTAAGCAACACCACCTGTGGGCATGGAAAATATTGTTACTTCTGAGAGACAACGTGCTTTCCACACCATCTTGCCATGATTTATTTAAAAAAATAAATGAACACTGTGATAAACAATCGCACTAGCATGTGGTCGCCATCATGAGCCCGGACTCTTTTTCACAAGAACCCAATCAGAGTGATCGGTGTTGGCTGGTTGTAGAAGGAATAGTCACTATACTAACCGATACACACAACTTTTAAACTCCATAGTTCAATACTAAGTAAGTAATAATCTCTCTCCATCAAACAGGCTGCCTTTGCACTAATTTTAGACTTGAGGTACTTTAGCATTTCAGAAGGACGTCAACAGACACTCCTATGGCGGACTGGGGCAAATCTTTCATCGTGGTAGGTGGGACGATGGATATGAAGCCTCAGCAGATCAAATGGACCCGACTGGATGGATCTGTCTGGAAGTGTGTCAGACGGCTCGGTGCTGCTTAGCCATGGGCGTCACCCTGGCGCTGTCTAACACTCCACCTGCACAACCTTCCTCACTGCGGCAGCCTTTGTTCTAAGCCAGTAAACCTGTCGCAGTCCGCCTTAAACGCAATTGTATGGCTTCCTCCATGTTCACCGGTCCACCTTAAAAGTGGGCCAGGCTCGTGGAGGCTGCCCCAGTGCCAGTGGAGTGCAACGTGAGCGCAGAGAGACAGGAGTGAACAATAGAGCTGCAGCCTAGACGCCAGAGCACAGCACTGCAGACACGGGTAAAGCCAGTATTATGCCATGCTATGGGGTACTTGGGCTACTACGAGCCTTTCGTTTTCATTTGGAAAGCCTCAGAAATGTGTGCGAAAGCTTGACGATTTCCATCGGAAATTCAGCAAGCAATCTAAGCAGAGTGTACCAGACAAATCCTCTTAGAGAGCAAGAGCATGGCTACCTGGACATGTACCAAGACAAAGTGCTACGCCGCTGGCTAGCAAAAACCGTCACACCTCAAACCCCAAAGCGTTCTATGTCTGCAACAGCAGCAACAGGGTTTGTGATGAAGAGAGTTTTCTTTGAATGTGACAGTGGGTACCGATAGATAGAGAGGTAGAGAGACAGCCTGTGGGTGTAATGGTGGGTAGAGAGAGAAAGACAGAGGGATGTGGGCGTGATGGCACCATGCATTATACGTATGATGTAGCGGCCGATGCTTTAAACGAGGCAATGCACCGTCCATGAACTGTGGGAAAGCCTTTATCTCATTAAGCAGCCTTTCACTGTCTCTCTAAATGCCAAAAAAGGTCTTAGACTGTAAAGGTGTTTGTGTAGAGACTGCACTAAATACTCTTTGGCCTCGTTTTGCGTCATTCCTTTGTTGAAATGTTGCCGCAATGCCATTTCAAACAGCAGTCAGACGTGCCACAATAGTGGACAAATGGTCCACTAACACACTACGGAAATGGAACGAACCACGAAGGAGCGTGGGTGAACCCTCAACAACCCCATCTCTCAACATTTACGCTCATAACAATGCTTTTCACCAAATTTAATTAATTGGTTGCAGGGGTCTCTGGTGATGTCCTCCAGCTGCACATCTTTAAGGTCTACAGTAGTGCCTTAAGGGATATACATCTAGGTTAGCCAACAACCAAAAATGTAAGGCCCTGTCAGCACTTGCATACCACAGTAACCATGCTACATGCTAAAGCCACGTCACATAGCATGAGGGACTTAACACACACACACAAACACACATGACTCAGCACACATTAAAAAGATGACGTTCACATCTACAAAGTGAGCAGTTGAGGGCTCTCTGAGGTCAAACACAAGTGTACCGAGCCTTTAGCATGACGCTCTCCATAGTACTTTGTGCTGCTCTCAAATGAAGAGATGTGAAATTGAATGTGAATAAATGTAAGATATGGTGGGATAGTTCACCCAAAAGTTCTGTCAACATTTATTCACCCTCATATCGTTCCAGACCAATATGACTTTCTTCTGTTGGACACAAAAGAAGATATTTTGAAAAATGTCTTGGTTACCATTGACTTCCACTGAATGGAGAGTCATTTCTCAAAATATCCTCTTTTGTGTTCCACACAAAAGTCATACAGACCTAGAACAACATAAGGGTGACTAAATGATGACAAGAGTTTTCATTTTATCCCTTTAACATGCATTCAAGGCCTGGCAGCATTTGAAATTAAACTCGATAAATGCAAAGGAATCAGATCTCCTCTTTCTAACCTTATCCCTCCAACAATGAACCCTCAGCTGATCCTACCCACTAGCGCATCACATGACCTGTATGCCGGCATTTCTTCAATGCCCCCCCCCGCCCCCCCATGCACACTGTCCCTTTATACACACGGCTAGCTGCTTCCTCTGTCCTCTGACAGTTGCGCTTGACTGTTGACTAAAATGTCTTTGTTTCCGACGCCGGCGGGCTGATGACAGAGCGCCCCTCTCAGCTCCCAAGAACCTAACCCGTGCACATAACAGGAAAACGTCACAAGTTAGGGTCTCAGGGATTGTGAGAGGCACATTTGCAGACCGACTGCCAACCTGTAACAAAATTCGAGCACATCGATGTGTCCCACAACAACAAAAATTGAAAAAAATGTATGGCTATAAAAGGCCCATCTACTCATAGCTTTTTGTGCACCCCCCCCGACACTTGTTTGTCTGTCTGTCTGTGACACAACAAGTGCAACCTTCAGCTAGACACAACATTGACCCATCTCTCCCTCCCCCAACAAGCTCAATCCCTCTCTTTCTCCAACACCCCCACTCAGTCTCTAACATTGAACAATACGGGCACTTTGAAAAATGCCCCTGGCTCCAGGTAAACTCTCCACCAGCTCTTGTCTCGATTTCACAAGCATTCAACGCTAATCATAAAAAGCTCTCAGTCTGGTCGCTGTGACTTACTACTGGAGTCCCCGACGTACATCACTGGTTAAACCACTAAACTGTAACATTACCTAAACCATGAAGTTTTAATACAAGATAATACAAGAAATTTTAGCTCTGCTAACTGGCAAGCCCAATACAAGCAGCTTCAGACAAAGGTAATGAAGACACTAACAGATGCTACAGCTGTGGGTGGGGAGAAGCAGAAAATGGTTTTAAACTCACCCTGGTGCGAGGATGAGGATGAGTATGAAGCCGATCACAGTTCTCTCGCAGCCTGCTCAACAAAGAAAGTGGGTGAGAGAAAGAAAGAGAGAGAGAAATCTCAGATTTCAACTTTTGTTGCTAGACCTGCTGACAAAAACATGTAGATTTGATAGGCTAGAAAAAGGGAGAGTCATATGGTCATGTTGACTGGAAGGCTGTTCGCGTGAAACGAAAGAGGAAGAATGAAAGAGAGGAGAGGTGGACAAGAGGCGAGATGGATGGATGGTAATATCAAAGCAAAGGTCCGTACGTCCATATTACAGCTTGCCGACAAAAGCCGCAGAGGTGGAGAGCGTGCCGATGAGAAAAAGCCGAAGGGTGGTGTGATCGCACTGAGGATGAGAGACAGTCCAAGCAGCAGCCAGGGCCACACCACCAGCAAATCATGCCAGTCTGCTGGATCTCAGGAGAGGAGGGGGTGAACTCACACGCACACACAGCACAGCACAGAGACTCTCACTCATTCACTTCACCTCACTCGTCCAGCGCTGCTCAGCCGCGGCAACTCCGTTCGCACGTATATCCCTATTCCAGGTCTGGCTCGATTGGGTGATGGAAAACAGGCAGCCTGCCGCTGCCAAAAACCCCGGGCTACGTCCCGCTGAAAGAGCATGCCTGAGACGCAGCAAATGCATCAATGCACCGCGTTACTGGCTCTCCACTCTCGCTAGCTTGCTCTCTCCACACCCCCTTCTCTTTCACTCTCCGTATCTGTCTTACATTTCATTTTCTCCCTCCCTCGCCATCTCTCTCGCTCACTCTCTCTCTCCCAGGACACACACATGCACACTCTTCCTCTCTCTCGGAGTTGAGCAGACTGAGAAGCATGCAAAATTGGAAAGAGGAGGGGGAAAACGTAGAAGCGTGACACCCCTGGTCCCTCTTTCCCTCTTTATAAATCCATGTTGAAAAAAGTTGTAGAAAGGGGGGGAAACAGAGAAATATCATCCATTAATTTGCTCGCACAGCTGTGATCATTTAAAGCCGGAGGCCCACTTCTCCGCAGTATCAACCCGAAGGGGGGAGGATGTTGGTGGAGGAAAAATAGTGTAGAAAAAGGCATAGACTCACGCTTTTTGACTTTTTTGTCATTTTTTTTTCATTGCTTGTAAAATATTTTGGTATTCCCAATGACATTGACATTCTAGAAGTTCTCTATCACATGCCTGGCATCATAAACACTATCCTTTAAAAAGAGAATGAAAGTGAGGGAGAAAGTCAGAGAGAGAGAGGCCCTAGAAACACAGCTACATGATGTGCTTGGCTTATAGAGGCTACATTTAATCTCCACTGGCTCCCCCAGGCTTGGGCAGAGCAAGGCGGAGAGCAGCCCGAGCTGATGGGGGAGGGACAAGCAGAGCAGGCAGGGAGGCTAGCGACGGACAACAGTGCATGGGATCAAATCAGCGACCAGAGCGGAGAGGAGAGAAAGCAAACCGGCACCACACTGCCCTCTTCCTCTCTTTCCTTCACTTGCTTCATGATCTCACAGTCTCTGGCTAATCTCTAGGTGTCACATGTAGATTGAGCATTATATCCTCTCTGATGCGGATGGGACATGCATGTAGGCGTTTTGGCGGTAAAACTGAGATGTTATCCCTTTTACATTTCCCCCTCGGCTCCATGGCCCCCACCAATGCTATCCTCATTTATCACCCTCTTTCGTCCAGATACAGCAAGCCATCAGTGAGGTGCTAATATTAGACTGCCTTTGACTGCACTGGCTGCCGCCTAGAGCCTATAGCGAGCAGACATGCGCATACGCATATATAGGTGCACACAATTACGTATGCATGCTAAAGACCTAGAAAAGCAAATTAAAGCATATTTGCTGCATGGTGGGTAATGCAAACAGAAAGTGCATGGAAATCTGTGCATGCACACAGCGCCATGTGACAAAATAGTTGGACTGATTGACAGCTGTCAGCTACTCCCTGTAACAATGCAAAGGTCTCTGGGAAATAAAACAAATATGCTAAGAGTTTTTATTTGAGATTTAGCATGCATGTATAATTGTGTGCCTGTATATACCATGCCTGCTTATTAAATTGGATATTCAGTGTAAAATCTCAGCTCTTTAAATCCGTCACCGCTTGCTTGTAAAAATATCCAAGTAGTTAAAATTATACTGAATGAGATCAGCACTTGTTCACTGTGTGGGCCTTTGGAACAACTAGACAATTGTGATTTTTTTTTTTTAATTGGATATGGCATTTTTTTCTCGTGGCAATCCACAAACTGTTTATGAGCCCACCCCGGCAAAATTGTAGAGTATTTCAAACACTGAATCCAGCCATTCCTGCTGTAGAGACTGCTAAGTGCTCACTGTAAGATTATGACTTCAGCTATGTTTAGCAGACGTGTCTCCAGAGAAGTAAAATATAAGGCCATTAGCAAAGCGGTGTAATTATAGTGCTTCATACCTTGCATAACAAACATTGTGGTTGAAGTTCTAATGAGGACTTTGAGCAAGGGAAGAGGCACTTCTTTAGGACCCAAATAAACCCTTGATCTAGTGATACTTATAATGCGTGACTACAATAATACTCATTACGTACTATCAAATGGAGTAATTACGTAGTATATCAAGTAGTAGTATACCCATAAAATTAAAATGAGAGTTTTGTGACTTTTAGTCTGTATGTGTTATCTTTGAATCTACAAAGCTAGCGTAATCCTTAACATCTTTCTCTTCTGGTAAAATGGAGCAAAAATATTGATGACTCATCCTGCACTACACATATTTTTGTCCAATCAAATGCTCTCTCTCAGAATGCCCCTCCCCCAATAACATCCACCACTGACTAGCAAGTTGCAAATCATCAAGTCTATTGGCTTTAAAAAAAAAAAAACTTGTATGTCCTGCTCGAATTTTCAGTTTAAAAAAGAAATAGATCAATATAGGAGACCTTGTGAGACTAAGATGATCATACTGTAAGTATTGTTTGCCCTGAGAGCATATTCTTTAGTGCCTTGCATAGTCTCACAATTACCAAATGCAAAAGGCCAAATGATATTAAGCTGACGAGGCAGACACAAAGCATTTTATTAAGTTAAACCTGTGTATTTTTTTAGAATGTCGGCACAAGAGCATGTCCGTAAAGCATTTTGAGAGCTTTCATAATAGAAGAGAGAGCGAACGAACATTCGTGAATGCCTCGGAGTGCGAGCGGTGAGCTGAAAAAGCCGTTTGTTTGTCACAGCTCTTTTCCTTTGGCAGCGATTAGCAAGGAGAGGTGCAGAGGACTACAAACCTCTGTGCTCTGGACCCTCTCCGTTCTCTGATCTGCTTTGGATTCGTGCTTCAAGGCTGACATTACACAGCACACAGACCCTCCTGGCCGACTAAAGGCACAGGCAAAAGAGACACGCTATCGCAGTAGTATTGCCGCAGAGATACGAAAAAAGAAATTAACGGGAAGATGGGAAATAAAGCAACATCAAAGACTACATTTTCTGATTATACATAAACCCTGGAAGGGGTCCTAGAATCAGATGCTAAGCAATGTACAGCTGTCTGTTTCAGTGTGTGTGTGGCAGTGAAAAGCTGCACCATTGGGGGGCAGCCTTTTGCTCCAGAACTCCAGCAGTGGCTGTGAGGGAGGGTTCACATGAAATCTCAGGCCAGTGAGATCTACAATGAAGTCTACAGTGAAGTTAACATCTCACTCAATCTTGCTCAAGCTTTGTGAGCTGAGCATATATATGCGTTATGGTGCTCTTAGCATCCTATTACAGGAGAGCAAAAATAAAGTTAATGTACAGTCAGCTTCTGCTGACAAACAAAACTAAAAATATATATACGGCTGTGTTGTGTAGACATTTTAAGCCTAACAAAATTACTATTATTTCTCATTAATGTTTGCTTGTAATCATTAAAATCAACTTGCTGATGAATATTTCATTAAGAGATGGTGTTGTTTTGCAAACTCATTATATTATCTTGCTGAAAAGCAGCTAATATGGCAATTTAGGATATTTCTTTGTATTTTTTTTGTTTGTGATCTGTCTTTTTAACTGGTGTGAGATGATGACAGGTCCGGCAGTAGCACAGGCATTAATAGAAACGGCAAAATCTATTTCAGCCTCCATTGTTTGGGATCAGGGGTGATGTACAGTACTTTATTCTCACTCCAGAAAATGGAGCGTGCTGCTATCATCTAAAGTGTGCTTTTAAGCATGACATATCTACTTGACTGTAAATACAAACCTTAGTCTTTGTACATCATCTGAGAGTTTCTTCTTCAGTAAAACTGATGACTAAACTCCATCCATCAACCCCAAGATTAAAGCAAGCCAGAAGAGTAAACTCTTCATCATTATTGGGTTCCAAGTGATAGAAAGTAATGAATTAAAAGTGATGACACTATAAACTTTTTCCATATATTAACTACAATATATACTATATTTAATATAACCATGTATAAAAATTATACAATTGTAATATATAACTAGGTCATTTGAATTAATCTGTTCAAAAAATGATGCAACTCATGCAAGAAGTGTGTGTCTGTCAGACATTGTTATTTGATTTGTTGCATTTAGTGCAATGTAAATGAAAAACAAATTTAAGCAAATCTGGTGAAAAGAATCAAAAGATTTGAGTTACTGGGATGAATCAAAACCCCCAATACTAGTATATGTATCTGTTCAGGTTTAATGCTGTTACCCTAAGATCCTTATTTTATTTTTTTGTACCAGATAAATACTACTCTGATTGTAATAATAAATTATATCATCGGTTAGCCAAATATATTTTATTTTTTTAAAGATGCAGACTATTAGACAGTTTGGCTCAGTGTGTAATATATTCCAAAAAATAACATGGTTCTATATATAAATGTAACCAAGAAATGTCCTTGTGTTAGGTACATCATACATGCATTTGGAGAGTGTTAAGAAAAAAGGCATATTCAAAGTGAAACTGAATAACTTTAAAATAAAATGGTGGACAGTTTGAAAACCCTTAAGCTTCACCAACACTGTTTCTGTTTAATTAGGAGTAAAGGAAAGATGAGATAAATTTTTTTTTTGACGTAGACTTGATCTGCTAACACGTTATAGCTGAAGTTTTTGTTAATAAGGGTTTAACAAAGTGAGCAAAATAATTATTCAAACTTCTATGAAATAATTATGGTGTGTATCACACTGATGATACAAAAATATGTTTTTAATGCAAGAATATAAAAGTGAAATCAATACAATAAGTTGACATAACCTCAGACGTTTATCATATAATCACTGAAGACCATGTCAGTAGCATGTATGTGAAATGGTTGAACATATATAGTTCAAGAGTGCTTTGAAATTATATGAAAATGTTAAATGTGGAATGTCAAATAGTCAAAATAATGTGCTCAACATCTAATTTAGCTACTTTTTTTTTCAAAATGTAAAAATATTATATTATATACATCAACAAAAGTTATTTTAAGGGTTAGATCAGATAGAAGTAGCTGTTTAAGAAATACACTACAGTTTGGGGTCAGTAATTTTTTTTTCTTCAAGCAATGAATACTTTTTTGGCAAGTATGCAATAAATTAAAATGAGAGTAAGCATTTATAATGTTAATGAAAATGTTCTATTTCAAATAAATGCTGTTCTTTTGAACTTTCTATTCGTCAATAATAAGACATTTTTCTTGTCAGGGTTTCTGCAGGCTAAATGTTAATTTAAAAAAAGTTACATTTAAGACTTTCTTAAAGACTTTTTTAAGACCAAGTAAACCAATTTTAAGGGATAAACTGAAAGGTACACAATGTGTCAATATGGTCTTTAA